GTCCGGAGCCGGGGTTGGGGGTGCCCACCCCCGGAACCCCGCCGGGGGCCTGGGGCCGGGGCTCGACAACCGGACTCTTGAGGCTCACGAGTCAAAGTCTTCACGGACCCAGTCCAGACCACCGATCAGACACGCACACTTGGTTGTACGCAGGTATTCAGGCTGCATTTGGTCCAAGTGGAAGTCTGTAACTGTACGAGATCCAGGCCGTCGGCCGTGAGTCAATCTGAGCCTCGGCACGTGAGAGACCAGAGGCTGGTCAACGGCGTCAACATTATTCATTGACCCAGCCCTTGGGGGTCAACATTCAGTCTTGCACTCGATGCTTGACGCTGGCACGATGTTGGCTTGACACTGGCAAGACAATTGTGCGACAACGACGTGAGACTGCTGCTTTGGGTCTGGTGCCTTCTGCTTCTGGGCGCCAGCTGTCTTCTTGGATGCTGACGTGGCACTTGCCATGCTGCCTTTGGCCTTGCTGGCGTGGCTCATGCCACACTGTCTTCGATGCAGATGGGAGATGCGACAAGGAGGGAGATCAGGAACTGTGGGATTGATTGAATGAGAGAACGGGAAAGTTACCTGTTGATGCTGTCGACATTGTGCACTGCAGAGACGTCTTCATGGGGAATCTGTGCCTACGTGGCACTATGTTGTGATCAGATCTTGTCAGACTCGTTTCTGGGACACTGTTTGCTGACGTGGATTTGGGGAGACGCCGGAAGAAGAAGTACAGGTCACATTTCATGATTATTGGAGACATTTATCAGCGCTGAGACATCTTGTATTTCGACACCTGATGAGTTTCGCTCCTGACTGGGTTCATTACAACGTCCACCATAGCCAGGTAAATACCTCTGGCCACTCTCCTCCTAGTCCCCTTCTTCCTCCTCGTTCCTGGCGCTGTCCACCATAACGATGGTGGAAGCCCAGGCGTTCCTCCCAGCGCTCTTCCAACAAGCGCTTCAGCAGCATGACACCCAAACTTGCACACTGCAAATTACGCTGAGCTCAATGCTCGGCCTCCAGATATAGCGGGCAAGCTGCCTCTTGGGCGGTGACTTCCAGGCTGCCCGGCCTCCCAAGCAACCTGTACCTGCTCACTTTTGGACGGAAACATCGTTGCAGGTCTGATATCGTCCGCTACAGGCCCTAGACTCAGACTCCATGACTGGTACCTCGACCTAGGCCTACCGGACTCTCTAAAATTCACTCGGCCTCCAAACGTACTAACTTTGTCTTCTTCTGCTCTGCCTACCGCTACAGAAGTTCTATCCTGAGCTATGCGGCCTACACTACTGCTGCTCGAGTGCTAGCCTATGCTACTTCAGTGTTCCGCGCCGCAACCATCAAAGTCGCGGCGACAGGTAAGTACTGGGCCCGAGGACCTCCCAACCAAACAAGTACCCTGGCGGGTCACACACACACTCAGGCAGACATGCACTCAGACAGGCACATGGAAACCAGCAAGCACACACACACACAGACTTCGAAATCTCACGAGAAAGCGGGAATCTCAGCACAACACACATTCTGGCGGCGAAACTCAGAAGTCAGCAGGGTTCTCAGTCTGTTGTTTTCATGGTCATTACATTGTACTTTTTATTCAGTTTTGGCTTGGCCAGGCAAGTGATCCCGGGCCACTCTGGTAACATGGGCAGCGGTCGAATCAAAATCGTTCTTACTCTAGTTGGGCTTGGTTTTCCTGTCCATCCGTACAGGAAGCAACAATAGCCATGACGATGAACCCCGACGTGGAAGAATTTGATTGGAAGGCGTCTCGATACAGTCTGATTGCTGTTGGCACGAGTGCGAACGAGATCCAGCTGTGGAATTGGAGCGTGAATATGAAGCTCCACCATGTGGTTGGTGCAGGTGCGGTTCCCTCCCCCCCCCCCCCCCTTTTTTTCCGGAAAGGACGAAGGCCTCAAGTTTTTTCTTTTTGTTTTTGTTTTACAGAAAGACTCAGCTCATTTGATTAACCAACCAAAATAGAGGCCGGGAATTCCTCCACAACACAATCCGGAAAAGAAAATACTGGGACCATTACCGAGCTTCGGTGCAGGTGGCAGGGTAACATCTGGTGACAGCAATGGCCAAATCCGGACCACCGTCCTGATAAAAGCCCTATGCTGGGAAAAAAGAGAAAAGCCTCAGGCCGGAAAAGCCACAAAAAAAACAAGAATCCACCAAGGAAAGAAACACCACACGGTCAAAAAAGCCCAACACAAACCAGAAAGAAATGGTCAGCTATTCTGAGGGCATACTCACACAAGGACTTTTTCGACAAAGCTCTGGACACGATTGCGGTCAGATTTATCCAGGTCCAGTCGTAATTTCAGTCAGATGCATTTCGGAAAGCGCCAGTGTGAGTATGCCAGAGACATCTCTACTACGAACAAAAAATATCCTCACGGACTGTGCGAGGCTGCAAGCCTCGGAAAAGCCGTACTGGGCCCTGTTTCAGCGAGAAAGGCCGCCCTAAGTGAAGGCGGGCCTGAAAAGCGACGTGAGGCCTGTTTATGTTTGACGCGGCTGGGGGAAATTCAGGCAGTTGTGCAGCGTCAGTTGGTTGAGTGAGCCCAGGCCCTGCCTGCCTTTTTCCAAATGTATCTGAGGCAGGCCCTGGGCCAGACACGGGGCATGAACTGAACACAGGCCGCTGGCAGTTGGACACGGGTAACCACCCCAGGCCCTGTGGAAGATTCCCTGGGACAGGGGCTCAGCCACTTGGGGCCTACTGGAAGCTTCCGTGGGGAGGCCCAGGCCAGCCAGGCAGCCCACGGCTGGCAGCCACTTTCCATAAAGGAAAGGGCCTGGCCGCTGGCCAGACATTCGGGCACTCGCTGCTTATGCGCAAGCGCTGCCGTGCCAGTTGCTGGAGCGAGTGCCTACGCACTCACAGGCGAGCAGGGAAGAAGCAGGCAGCCATAGCCGAGCTGGCCTGCGCATTGCTGGATGGGGCGCATGGTGGTCCTTGGGTGCATGTGGCATCTGTGTGGGGGATCGAGGTTGTGAGTGAAGCGAGGGACATACCTGGTGCTTGATGCGAACGGCATTGGCCGAGATCTGCTCGTACTTTGGGAAGCTGTTGACGTCACCAGCAGCATTGTAGATAGGCTACATAGGATCTGCCATTTGTAGTCTGGGCGCTGAGCACCAGGTAGGGATTCGACATTGGTTCATTGTTGATGATGATGAGACTGTTCCAACATTGTCACTTGTGAGATTTTGCTGTGCTCTTATTTGGTGAAACTCGAGTTGCAATTCTGCTTTTGGTTCGAGGTCAAGACTATCTGGTTTCATGTGTATGATGCTGCTTGGTTTCTGGAATTCGCTATCGCATTTTCCTTGCATTTTCGTATCGGAGTTGTGGTATGTTGCGCTAATCTGGCGCTTGTCTTCTACTCATGCGGTGCATGCACGCGGTTAGCTGGGTGAGCGACCGTGGGTAGTGTGCAGTGAGGAGGGCGAAGGCAAGCAGGCGACCCAGGTGGAGAGGGGTATCGCTAGGAAGGTTGTGTGGTGATACTGGGTGTTTCGCAGTGTGATCAGAACTATCTGATGTGCGATTGATGCTGAGGTTGTGCCGAGGCAACGATCGCAATCAACGTCAGGTCATTTGGTGAGAATATCTGTGGTTGGGGGCAGCTATTTTGTGGTACGTTGCTCTTAACCTTATCTACCTTTTTCAACACTTCTTACCGTGAGGATGTGTGTTCTGTCTTGAGAGTCCTCTCATGTGAGGAGTCGAGTGCGCTCAACCTTGAGAGTCGGCATTGTTCACGTGGAGCATTTGGAAGGAGAGGGCGTTGCCATCTGAAGGGCCCTGGACGAAGCACTGGGTCACGGTCACCATGCCAACCCACCGGGAGTAGAGCACGCATGCTTTGCTGCTTTGTCCTTTGTCTGCCTGCTGCGCTATAGATAGGTCATGAGGGGCAGGCCAGCCCTACTGGGGAGACGAGAACCAGACGTTTATAAATAAATACCGGCAGGTTACCTTCCATTGGCTGTGATCGTGGCCCTGTTTGTGACGTTAAATAATTCCTGAGGACCTCGGGGGCCATCCTTAAACTGCCTCTTGATCAGCCAATCAGTCGGGTGTAAGGCTCGCAGCACACGAGGGTAAACATGGTGCAGGGCTGGCCAGCTCAGAATTGACTTGGGGCAAAGGAGTGGGCCGTGCACACCTTTAGACACCAGTGCCATCCGGATTGCTCAGGAACGCTGACGTCAAGTGACGTCAAGAAGAACTGATGGAGGGGTAGATTTCAGGTGATAAGTTCGGGAACAATTCCACTCAGCAAACAGCCATACAAATGATTTTGTTTTCATTTTGATTAGTTAGATGTTACTGCCATTAACACATCTGACAGACAACATAGGTAGAACTATGTGTTTCTTCTTATTTGCTTTCTGTTTGCGGACTAGTCAAGTAAAATAGTTTCGTTTGTAGGAATTTGGGCTTATCTGTTGAACCTAACTGTGTACCATCTGACAATGCCACCGGTTATTTAATCGGTCTGACCACTGCGCTGCAGTAGGCAACAGAGTGTGTCCTAGTGCAGACAGTGTATAGTGCTGTAGCATATGAGCGACAGAGAGTACCTTAATTCGAACGACTGGATCTTGCGTTTGTCAAGCCGAAGACTCACGTTGGTCCACGTATCCTTAGGAGGCGAGGGAGACCGTCTTTTGTTCTATCAGGCCAGAGACCGTCTTCTGTTCTATCAGGCTAGGGAAAGGCGGCGTCAACTAAGGTTGGCAAGGGACGCAGAAGCAAGCAGAGCCTTCGCAAGTGAGGTAGCTACCTCAGCAGCAACCATGGCCTTCTCTGCGCAGCAGAGCTCCCAGGCCAGTAGTTCAGGGACTGTCGGGGCAACGGTCGCACAAAGCTAGAGTCAGTCCACTGGTGTTATGGCTAGCCAACAATTAGTGTTAACTCCCAAGGAGGTCGCCATTTAGAGAGCAAGCGCTCTCGAAGCACAACTACAACAGGCATTAGATGAGATGCAGGTAGAGAAGGAGAGAATGATTAGACGTAGAGCAAGGATGCAGCAGAGAGAAGCGGACATGCAGGAGTTAGAGGAGATGGATATGACACATATGGATGATGATGTAAAGGCTGCTAGGAGGGCCCTGCTAGATGTGGTAGAGATGCAGGATTACCATACCGATCTTTCGCAGGACATTCAGAGAAGTTTGGCCGTGCTGGTCGGGCGGGTTCAGGTCTCACCTTTACCATCTGGGCCAGGTGCGTGGCCTGTCGTGCATCTTCCTCCCTTTGTCCCATCGGTAACTGGAGTAGTCCCATCTACAATTTCTCCGGTGTCGGTACCGGTCGCTTCCCATTTGGTTATGCCTTTGACAGGCAGGTTCTCAGCAGGTCCTAGTGTACAGATTCCTGTTCAGACAGTGTTTTCCCAACCACCGTTGCAGGCTGTCGTCTTGGAGCCAGCACAGCTGCAGGGCACACAGCCCCAACAGCAGCAAGTGCAGCATCCTGCAGCCTAGGCCCCACAGCCTAGAGTATTGCAGGTACCGGGACAAGGACAGTGGGTTCCGAAGGCTGCCATCGTGTCACCCAAGCCCTTCTCAGGTGATAAGAAGGGTGAGGACCTTGACACATGGTTGAGTACGGTGCCAGTCTATGTGAAGTGCAAGTTAACCTTGCCTCATGAGGAAGTGGTTGTGGCTGCCTCCTATCTTGACGGGAGTGCAGCGAGGTGGTTAAGCGGATACGTGCAGTTACAGGGGTACGGTCATGACTTCCGCGCTTGGGCAGTCACCCAGAGACTGGATGATTTCATCAAGCTGGTGGAGGAAAGGTGGCATCACCCGCAGGAGGCTCAAAAGGCACTGACGGGATAATGACCGTGAGCTTAAACCACCACTACCCCCGCCGGCCTAAGGACTTTCGTGGCCTTACGGACCGGGTTCTCAGGGGGGGGGCGATCGGCAAGCGCAGGAGGGTCTGGTCCAAAAAATTTCAAGCGCGAACTTTGGCGATTTTTCGCGCTCAAAAAAATTGGCAAAAAAATCTGGAAATTTGATATCATGTAGATTAGGCCGTGATCTTTCCAGAAAAAATAAAAAAAACAAAAATAAAAATTTAGACCGTGAAGTAAATGCCGCGTTGTTTCGTCACATTTTTCATTTTGCTACTCTACCACGTATGGACCAACGGGAAAAGTAACCCAACTTTCGAGATTTTTTGTGATCAGAAGGATGAACCAACAACTCTGAAAATTCGAGGGTCCGTAGATTTTGTCATAATCTTTACTGGGAAAAAAAAAATAAAAATCATTTGACCCCAGTGTTGCACACACCAATGGTCGGCGACCCTTGGCTGCAGACCTGCCGACCGGTCGGCTGGTCAGCACCTATTGGTCGGGGTCGTCGGCACCCCGCAAATATATATATATATCACAGCCCCTCGTTTGTTGTCCTCTTCTCTCTCTCTCCCTATGGTTTACCGGGCAGTTCTGTTTGTGACGATATATATATATATATAGGGTTCACCCCTCCTGATGAGTCGGTGAAACTCCGACGAAACAGTTTGTCACAACCCCTCGTTTGTTGTCCTCTTCTCCCTCTCTGCCTACGGTTTACCGGGCAGTTCTATTTGACGATATATATATATATATATATATATATTCAGCCTCCTGATGAGTCGGTGAAACTCCGACGAAACAGTTTGTCACAGCCCCTCGTTTGTTGTCCTCTTCTCCCTCTCTGCCTACGGTTTACCGGGTAGTTCTATTTGACGATATATATATATATATATATATCGT